GCATTACTCTGATTTGTGTGTTTATGTGTAACTGCTGGGAGATCATTCTTTGTGAATATTTTCACATTTATGCACGATCTGAGCCTTCTGAGCACTCAAGCACTCACTAAAAAGGTTTGTTAAAGGATGACTGAACAGCTAATATGGCTTGAAAGCTAGCAGTAGCTCATTATTTAGTTGAGACTTATATCCAGATCTCCCCTGTGACAATCACTGTCATTCAAGTTTAAGAAACCTAGGGATTTCATCCATCTGTCTTCTTCCTAGACAATATTTGTTTACATTCCAGAGTAGAAGTCCTTTTCCCTCTGAAGAAATGAGCTGGCTCTTATACCAGAGTTCCATGTGTAAACCCTGAGTCTGAGCATCTTGATGACCTTGAGATGTAGATGTGCTATGTATGCAGACCAATTTGGTCTGCAGTCATGCTGTCCTGTGAGGACTGGGTGTGTGGAAATGAAATTCAAGTCATCTGTTACAAGCCTATTTGAATCTTTGATCTAGAAATCTTGTGGCTCCTACCAGAAATTTTATATAAAATGTAGAAAAGATAAAGTCATTAACTTTCAGGTAGGATAAAATTTTGACCTTGCCCAGTTTTAATGTCAGTGTTCAGCTAAGATACTGTTTTCCCAGCATCTGTTGCAGTTCAAAGTAGCCAAGTCCCTAATGACATAAAAGCAGAAGTTATTGTTTAGTACCCTAGGGAGATATGTTTCCATAGAACTCTCCTACTTTTTGAAATATGGTTATGATGGATTTGGATTCATTGTTTCTTTTACTACAATGTGATTTTGGCGTTGTGGCTGTGGTGCGGTGGTGATGAATATATTCAATGGGCAAAGCTTGAGGTTTGCTCATCAGACCCAAAAACAAGCAAAAAACTAAAAGATGATTTTGAGGTGGTCTAATAAAGATTTAAATGTAATAATAAGGATTATTCTTAGTCAAAAAACATACCATGAGTGAGAAAGGAAATTGCTACATCCACTCACTCAATCAACAAATAACATATTGCAAAGCTCTGCACTGGGTTCTAAGTTTATAATGATTAATAAAACCCACTCCTTTTCTTGAAGAGTTCTAGCAGGGAAGGAGAGATTAAAGGAAACAATAAATTAACTAATATGTAGTAAGGGCTTCATGGTGATGTTCACATGAAGGCAATTAAGCTTTGCAGCTACGTAAATCTTCAGCTCCTGTATCTTTCTCTTGCTTCCTGGTGTGTGTTTGGCTGAACTATTCTGGGTAAAATCTAACTCTCCGTGCCTGTTTCCATAAATCTTAATGTAGTTGGGAAACATATACAAGACTATTCTTAGGAATCTACAGTTTATTCATTTTTTTATTATTTTGGGTGGATATTTTACTTCTCTCATCTCTGATTTCTAACATCTTTTCTACAATTTAACTTCTCCATTGCTTTCCTATAACCTTAGTACTTGACGGTCAACAGTTGAACTTTTTTAATATTTCATTGACAAAATAAAGACAGCTGGCAAAGAACCTCCATAGATCCCCACATCTAATACCTGCAAACATCCACATTTGCCACACCTCCTCTGTTACTGTTAGTTATTTTCACTTTTTCATATTTATGGATAAGTCCTTCAAATTTTCTATCTTCTCTTGAAAATTAAAAACATCACCCCCCCAAATTTCCCCCCTGTTCTGAATCATTATTTTTCTTTTTCTCTATTTGATCATTCTCATAAGGAAATAAATTCTGAGACGTATTATTCAAGTGATGAACCAAGGCTGAAGAGACCGCATGATCAATAAGCACCAGGAAGACCCAAAATAATAGAGATTAATCAATAAAAGAAATTATGAGGGTAAAGTTGATATCTCAGAAAATTTCCTCGGCCTAACTTGGTACCTTAATTTACATACCATTCTGATGTAGAAAGTGAAAAAGGACACTTTTGACTTAATTTCAACTGTTTTCTCATCAGTAGAATGGAGATCTAGAATATAATAGTTATTATAAAAGAAAAGGAAGACACTTTTGAGAACAGGACTCCCTAATTCATAATTTCAGATGCTGTATGTATTTCAAAATTCATCTAACTTTTATAACATTTGAGAATTTGACAGGAATTGCAGAAAATTAAAATTGTATTGTGTAAATGATGCATCTAACCATTAATCAAAAATAAGCTATCTTATTTAAAGTTTATTAAAATACTTTTACATAAAGATTCATAAAGTATATAAGTGATGAATAGAAAATATGGTCAATGTTTAAATTTCGGTAGAATAAAAGGAAAAAATTACCATGAAAATCCCGCAAAAAACTCCACCTCTCCCTTCCTTCAAATACACTTGTTTTATTATTTTTGACATGTTCTGAACAATTCTGGAACTTTCTTGTTTTGTAAATTTCTTTATGACGTGTGATGAGAAATACCAGAAATGTTGCTACTGAGAACAGGGTAAAGGCAGGCTCATATAACAATCTATATCCTTAGCCATCTGTTCACTAGATCTGGCACCATGTGATTTCTGTTTGTTCATCAAAATCAAAATGATCATAAAAAGTAAAGGTTTTGAATTAATTCCAACTTCAAGGCAGCTATGAAAGCACAACTAAAAGTGTTAATGAAAGAAGAATTCCAGAACTACTTCAGAAAGTGGCAAGAGCAATGATTTAAGTGTGTTTGAGACAAGAGGGAGTGTTTCAAGGAGATGAAAGGCTTTTAATATAATAATTTTTTTAAAATTTAAAGACATAGTATTTTTCCACACACCTCATGTTAGCCTATAGGAAGATACTCTAATCAGTGGAAGTAATTAGGCTCAGCAAGTACTTGGGAAATCAGAATTTTTATTTAGTAAAGTGAAGATGCTGTACAAATTGGATTCGTTTATTCTCATTTTAACGGAAACTGGATATGTATCCCAAAGGAGAAATTGCCTACTAAAAGAAGTTCCATATTCTAAATTCCTAAGTGATATGTTCTTACTTAATCTTAATTACTTTTTTCTTTTCACTTTTCTCCCTTACTTGATATAATCTTGAATAGACTGCAAAGATGCTGTTTACCTCTGCAAATATAGCCCTAGGTGTTCAAGACCAATGATTGGGGTTCTCCATTCCCTGATGTATGGACCTACCAAAAACCAGCCTAATTGTATGCTTTCCTTTACCATTGACTAGTTTTCACAGCTTGATGTGCCATCAATTTGTAGATTCTTCTAAATTTAGTAAATGAATTTGACCATAACTTGGCATTGATGAGATCCTTTTTCTTTCGTTTCTGGAAACATGATTACTGAGGCAAATAAAGTATTATCTTGTTTGCTTCTAAAAAAGGATAGGAAATAAGTGGAAAGTACATTGAGTATTTCACTTCAAAAATATGCTCTCTTGGGCAAATCATTGTGCTGTCTGCTAATGAGTTCAAGAGTCTAATCTGACACTGACGTTATTTATGCATCATTTAATTGTTTCATGTTTAATTGCATTACAACAAAGCCAACATCTGTGGTGATGAAGATATAAAGGATACTGTGTATCTCTGAAAAGTAGAATAGAGTCACAGAGCAGATTTCTCCATTGGAGAAAAAAATCCCTTAAATATTCTAACCATCTTAAATTTTTAAAGACACAGGAAATCATGATTAAACAAAATCTAGCAAATTAGTAAAAGGCAGAATTTAAGCACCAAGAAAAATCTTAAATGACTGCATAAGTCATTTATTTTTGGTTTTAAATAAGAAGAGTGGTTTTAAATTTTACCTATGTTTTGGTATTATGCATTAGATATACTATTAATAAGATACCACAATTATTCTTAGATAATAAAGCTAACAACTTATTGATATTTGTTCTTGGAGGTTATAGTGGCTTAATTTCTTCCTGAAATTACTAGTTCATTTTTAGATACATACACATAGCAATTTGAAGGCTGATATGTGCATTTTATCTAATTGAAATAGTTTAAAATATTCAGAAAATAAATATTGCATATAGAACAGATTATATTGCATATGTGGTTGATAAAAAATACATTTACAGATTGTTAGAGATACTGAAATGGGTTATATAAAATTGCATTTAGACAATGACATTGAATTTGAAATTGAAGGAATAACTCTAAAAGTCAAATTTTTATTGATAATAGTTTAACAAGGACAAGGAGTTATGATTAAGTATTAGTACTTGTGTGGCCCTTGACAATGTGGTCTCATATGGACATACTTCAGTGACCCCTAAAAATGATCATTTTGTTTAGAACACCTAATTTTCTATAAAATCAAGGAACAATTATTTTGAAGTGTTTTCTGTTAGTGCATATGATACCAAATTGTTGCTATTAAGGCAAGTTTCAAAAACACAAGGAATCTTACAACCGTACAACTTCTTTGATTAAACAAATGATTAAACAAGATTTTATTACTGGCCAATGACTCTGACAGCTAAGCAAAGGGCAGAATTCCTTCACAGATACATCTTGCAATCTACAGTAGAAGACAGATGTGGGATAGAATTAAAAATATACTAGGTATTCAGTGTTTCCAGATGCAACATGAGGGATGATTCTAACCTGAACATTTTATAAGAATCTCATGAACAAGTGATGTTTAAATTGAGACTTGCTGACTGGAAAGGACTTACCTAGTGAAGTGTGAAAGAAGAGAAAATAGAGGGCTGGGCAGAAGGAAAAGCAAGACACAGATCCTGAAATAAAAATAACTGACATGGCCAAGAGACAGAAGAAAGTCTAGCCTGGCTGGTGCCCAGATTGGAAAGAGTGAGTGGAAGGAAATATAGAAAACAAATATAGGTCGGTGTTTCCTAACAGACTGAATGGAAATCATGCAGTCAAAATATTATGTGACTCCTTCCAAATAAGTAAAGAGTAGTGTATGGCTAGAGATGTTAGCGTCAATCAAATCCATTTTCTCTCTCTCTCTCTCTCTCTCTCTCTCTCTCTCTCTCTCTCTCTCTCTCTCTCTCTTGTCTCCTTCTTCCCTCTCTTTTATCTTGTGCAAAGGCACATACTAAGTTTCCTCACCCCGCACACTACATTCTGCTACAGCTGAAGTGCTTGGAAAACCCAGTGGAGGGAATCTTTTTTGGATGATAAAATCCTGTTGATACTAGGAGGTATCACTTCACTGCATTTGCCTTTCTGTGCCACTTGCTCTTTGTCCTGAAAATGCGGCAGCCACCTTACAACATGAGAAGCCTTTGCTGCATGCTAATGATGGTGACACCAAGGGTAAGTTCTGGCACCAAGGAATGGAAGGTAAGACTGTCATTACTTTGCTATCATTGTCAGTGGCAGCCCCTAACACTGTGCAGGTCTGTGTGGATGCTTGCAGATGGCTTACCTGGTGTCAATAAACCATGTCCCAGAACTGGACTGTCTATCCCCATACTTACTTTGGTATGAGCTTAAGCCACCCAATTGAAATCTTCTAGTGTTTGCTACTAAGTTGCAACATGAAGTTTCCTTTATGTATGAGTCAAATACCTTTGTTCAAAGTTTACATATTCCCTCAGCAAAATTAACTTCTGGCAGATTGTTCTCTCATGTGTGAATATGATTTCTGTACTGGAATACCACTTTCTTCTCCAGGAAATGTCCTTCTGAACAAGTCAAATATAATGTCCTCAGGAAGTCCTTTCCTGTTCTCTTCAGGAGAAATTAGCTATTCCAAGGCTTCTGAAGCACGCTCTGAACTGGTCACTTATCCTGCCTTCTTATGGTTCTTTGTCTATATATCCTTCTGCACTCTCCAGCTCCCGAACTCCCAGGAGCCCTGTTCTTACTCATTTTTTCCTTTTTTTCCAGGACCTGGAATTTTGCACTGTTAACCTAGTTTACTAACACCAGTAAATGTTTATTATTTTCCAAGTTATATTAATTTAATTTTAATAAAGTAAATTATACAGATTATTATACTGATGGAAATATTTTAAATGTTTTATAGACACCACAAAATTTAATGCATTTTTACTCATTACTACTCACTGAAGTGGGTGTTATTTTTTTCCATACTTCCATTATTAAAAAACTGAGGCCCAGAAGAATAAAATAATATTTCTACAACACTTTGAAGAGCTGCCATGACCATAAACTATGAGAGCTTCTGTAAAGATCTGGAAGTCCATGATTGGGTGGCACAATTGTGTTAGAATAATGACTTTAATTTCACTCTCTAAATTACATGCAAGTTCCTCTCATTTACAAATGTTATATGTAGTGGTATGCGTGCAGGTTAGACTGTGTCACATATTCAGATTTGAAATTTCTGGGATGTAATTGCCACCATTAGAAGGGAGTATTTGTGGTGTCAGGTAGACAACAGATGTGCCCATCATAGGTGTTACATTCTGGTCTTCATATCTTCATGTGATCGTCTGCTCTCTTGTGTGAGGAAAGCCTGTAACATGTTTCTAACTAATTTTGGCAAGAGCTTTTATAGTTGATTATATAGTTGATTACACTTATGTAATTATATGAGGTGATGTCTGGGTGAAATCTGTTTTTGTTTATGTATTTATTTTTGCCTTGAAAAATCAGGGTGATATAAATTCTGTATCTCCCACAAATGTTTGAACCCAGCACACATGTAAGACAGCAAGAAGCCTTTACCCTACTTGAATTTATTTGAGAGCACAGCCCTAGCCAATATTTTAATTGCTACATTACAGCGAGGAATACAGGGAAGCCATGCCCAGACCTCTGACACACAAAAGATGGTGATATAGTATATGTGTGCTGTTTTAAGTTAATATATTACTTGCAATCTATTACATACTATTGGATAACTGTTATAACACATACCTTGGTAAATAACCCACCTAGAACTAGATAGTTCAAGTTATTAACACATGGAATGTGGGACATTTGTTTTCAGAGCAAATAATGAACCAGGTAGGTTGGAAGTGGATGTATAAAGTGATATACTGTTTTATGGAGTGGCCAAATATTTTTTAAAATTGGGTTCTTCTTAGAAGATAAAATGTAGAAGAGAAATTTAATAACTTTTGTCTATGTGCTATTGTGGAAACTGAAACTGTGAGCTGACTGCAAGTAACAACATTTATAAAGATAATTAATAAAAATAAGTCGAGGGGAGCAGTAAGTTATTTGCAAGCAAAACTTAGTGGGAATAGAAATAATTCATAAAATGCAATGATATAAATAAAACTGTTTCTCAACAAATCCAAAGAATACCTTTGAAGGTGTAGTCTCATTTCAAAACAAACATACAGACCAAGAGTGTGGTTAAAACAGCCTCTACTAAGATGATAACTTTTCAGAAAGATATTTATTAGTCTTTTTGCAGGAAAATAAAAAAAAAGAACTTTCAAAAAATCTATGGTCCCACAAAGGCCCATTGAGACCAAAGTACCCATAATTAGGTCTACAGAAAGAGAAATGTCTTGAAATCCAGTGAGTGTGGATTTTGGCATATACAATTGATCAGAGACAAATACTTAAAGAACTGTGTCTGAGACATATGTTTGAGAGAACTGTGTTAGCAAAAGTCTTGCGAGCAGAGATCAAACAAATAAACATCCCAAAACAGATATGAATTACAGATCCAAAGGACCTGTTTTTCCCAAACTTTATGGGCAAAATGACACAAATGAACAGGCTTGCAAAGAGGAAAGCTAAGTGCTATGAAGCTATTCCTGGCAGCTACCCAGAGCCTAATGAAGAAAAATTGCTCATCAGAGTTGGACAAATGTACATAATCTTTCCATCAGTAGTTCAGAGTAGTTTGGGAGCACTCAATATTATATACCATACTGTATTGTGTTTTTGAATGGAAAAATTATCAGAGATTCCTCCTATTCCATCATGGTGTGGTGAGAGTATGAAGGATCATAACTCTTTCATTTGTATTCCTGTGGACCAACATTTTGGTCCACAAGCCACATAAACTGTAGTGGTCTCATTAGATGATACTGCCTAGTGAAACCATAGTCATTTCAGTTTATAAAAGCATATTCTATGACTAGGGAGTTCTAGTAACCTTTTGGATTTGAATATAAGACATTAGGCTTTAGGATGACTGGTTTTTCAATTAGGATGCAAGCCATGATATCCGTGAAGTGAAATACAATCTGTGAAGTTAATTACAACGTTCAGTATTGAGTAGCTTTGTTTAGGTCAGCTAGAATAGTCAGTATGTGTGTGCATGCGCGTGTGTGTGTGACATTTGTTATTTCTTCATTCACAGTATTATTTTATGTAAGGGACAAAAAATAAAAACATAAAGGTACAAAGAGCTATGAAATAAGTTATAAACCAAGGAATATACACATCGTAGTACTTGGAGCAATTTAAAAGGGTCATTATCTTTACATTCGTTGGAACAAAAAAAATGTAGACCATTTTGTTCACATTTCTGTTGTTAATATTGTTAGTACACTTCCTGAACAGAGAGGAAAAAAAACTATCTCTTCTTGTCATGTTGACAGCTTTTGCTACATAAATAGATACTTATGTAGGCAGATACTAAGGTGTGAACTTCCCCCATGCATTCTAATTGGATGCTAGACTTGAAAGAGTGGGATTGAGCCTGTAAATGCAAGAATGTCCATCAAATAAAGCCCAGATATCCACTTTAAGTCAGTAAAGTGGGCACTGCATAGTTAAAAGTGGGGCCAGTTTGTTGTCTATCAGTAGCTAGCTCATATGTTCCAGAAACAGCCCTGTAGGGAGGTGTTTTGTGATATATAGGGAAAACACACCTCTTCACAGTTCTTTTTCCTCTAAAAGTATTCATGAAAATGTCTACTTTAGAAAAAGAAAACTTTGTGTATCAAGTTTTCTGCAAACCAAAGATTAAAGCGCTTTCATTTGTTTTTCTTTAGCATGTTTTTATTTTTGACTTGTAAAATATTGACTGACTAGTACTGATACTCACTTCTCAAATATGCACTTCATGTTTGCAGTGTTTCAAGCTCGGAGATCCTCTGCCCTAGATTACTGAAATGATTACAGATGTCCTGAAGTTTATGTTCATAAAAGCAGTAATTAGTTAAACCACAAGTACATGAAATAATTATAAATTGTGATATTTTATAGAAGAAAAGGACGGATCCAGAACCCAAGGAAGTCACCTCTGAAAAACTGAAATTAAAACAAATCATAAAGGAGGAGGAGAAAACAACCATGCATGTGCACAGAAGTGACAGAGCATCACAGCAGAAAGACAAGCATGTACAAAGGACCTAAACATGGAGACAAAAGCACGATACATTCGAGGAAGAGCAAAGACGGTGAGCAGAGAGACCTAAGAAGAAAAATAGTATCAGATAGAGTTAGCAGCATGAGACAGAGCTAGGTCAGACAAAACAACGTAGGTGAGAGTAAGGGGTATTATTCAATCCACAGTCCTGGGAAGGTTGGACAGTGAAATGTTTGGTTTATGTTTTAAGAGGTCTTTGGTCAGTGTGTGGATAGCAGATTGAAGAGAGATCTCTTAGAAAGCTTGCTGCTGCTTTTTAGATGATGAGCGATGACCAGATAAAGGCAGATAAAATGAAACAGGAAATAGACTTGCCAGATGCCAGGTATATTTGAAGTGGGGTAGTTTTGATACGACACATGGATGGACTGCTTATCAAGGAAGAGGGAGAAGAAGAATAACTAAAAAGAATGCCTCTTTGTTTTTTTAAATTTACTGAAATGTAAGTCATGATGGGTGGTGATTAAGACTCTAGTTAAAGATACCTGTGCAACAGCTAGGTATTGATACTAGTCAGACACTGAAGTATGCTATTAGGTAGATATTCCAAAGTTAAGACTGGGCTAAAGATATAAATACTATAGATATATAATCATAGATTTAAAGCTATGGGCTTATGGAGACAGTTGATTGAGTAGGGATCAAAAAAAGAACATGATTAATTTCTGAGGAACTAGTAGTACTTTAAAAGTTTGACTATATGATGATATGGAGAATTCATGCCTAGAACAGGAGAGATGCATCAGGCATACATATATATTACTTTAAGTGAGAATGAACTCCTGAGCAGGAAGGAAGTTCCTGCATTTACAGGGCAGAAAGAGGAAAAAGCATTCTTCTGAAGCACAAACTCTGGATCCCTAAAATGACTTTCTTCTGCAAGACATCCAATATGCTCAACAGCATGGGTGTGACATTTCCCTCTGTACCTATGAGGAAATGCCTTTTCAAGCCTTCTATTCCATTATATAAACCATTCATCAGCCTAGGAGAGATGAGCTTTTATAGGTTAAACATAAAATTTATGAACCAAATTAGCACTCTTTTAAGAGAAAAGGGAGTTAGAAATAATTAAAACAGGCATAAATGTGGAATGCTCTGGGAAAATGCACAGGCCTTTGGCAATATCGAAATTGAGTATTTGTTATTTTCAGTACCCTCTTCATTTACCTTTGTACAGTTCAGTTCCTTTCTGAGTGCTATTTCATACTTTAAGGTTTAGTTTTTCTCTTCTGGGTTGTGGCAAACTATTTTAGTATTCCAGCTGTGCCAATTTTTTTCAAGCAGTGCCCATGTGTCCTAAGTTTCTAAATCTCTTCCTAATTAACAGACCTAATGTACCTACTAAAAATCAAATAGCTTATACAAAGATCCATGCTAATCAACATTTGCTAATTGGATAATGTATTTTCTCTTAAGCAACCAAATCAGCATTAGAAGGACAACATTAACTCAAGAGATGAATCACTGTGAAAGAGTCAGGCATTGAAAGAATATAATTTTGAGCACCAGGACTTACATTCTGTTATGTAAACTGTGGAGTATGCTGCCTATGGATGACCCTTGTAATTCTAGTCTGGCCTGAACTATAGAAAAGTTAGATGGAGTATTGTTGGGGTCAGATGTACCCTGGAAAAAGTAATTATTTAAGCACATTGAAATCAAATCTTATTCTTTCCAAGAAAGCTGGAATCCTTGCTTAGTACAGAATACATTTCTGCATTTCTTGATCCATAATGAAGTCATTATGGCATAGTATCCATTCCCACTCTAAAGATGTAACTGTCTGCAACAGGAGGTAGACATAATTGCTTGGCTTTTCCTCATTTTGTTCCACCTAGTACTTCTTATGATTGGCTTGTCTGCCATTTCTTTATGTGGTATGATCAGTACAAAAGCCAACAGTAAAATTATTAGCCTGGAAGCAACTTAAAAAGTTCATTTAACTTCCTTTATTTCTTGGAGTTTTCCCAGAACCCTCTTTGGATAAATTGCCTTTATTTATTTTGATTTACTCTTTTTGAGCCATATGACACTTGGTTTCTTTTCTTTTAATTTTATTTTGCACTCTTCGTGTTTTCCTTCCATTCTAATGTGAAACATTCTTAAAATTCAAGGAAAAAAATAAGAAGATCAAGTAAGGGCTCTGTAGTAAAAAAAAAATCTTTAAACTCCACTGATAGTGAGTTAGATATGGGGTAGTTTTACAACTAGAAAATTTTAATGTGAACTTGTACATTATGTGGGCAACATAAAATGTTTGTATTTTCCAAAATTCACTAAATCACCTACTAAGTGATTGGATAAAACATGGGCATTAGTTCATCGTCACTAACTCTATAAAAGAGTAAGTTTAAAAATGATTAATGTGTAGGAAAATCTGAAGCAATGATTAGTATAAAATAAGTCAGGAGAAGAATCTCTAATGACTTTCTTTGCCAGTGGAGTCCATTCCGAACCTCACTGCTTTTGAAACACGTGTCCCTGTTTGGAATGAGAAACTATTTTAAAGCAGTGTTAACTTTCCATTGCTTTCTTCCTTCTTGCTTGTCCTTGGTATTTTACTTAAGATCATGTAACATAGAAATAAGTTAATAAGCAAAACGTTCATAAATCAAAAAACCTGATATTAGAACTTCTTAAGAATTATGGTGAAAACCCAGCTCAAGTAGTGTTCACAGACTGAGTACCTCATTACAGAAAGAGAGATGCATAATTTTGAAAAGCAGATAACATAGAAGTTTGGAAAATATACATCTCTACTTGAGAAAGTCTCTGTAGTGCTGTTGTTATATTTTTGAAGAGGAAATTTAAAGCCAGAAAAAAAGTCTGTGAATTTAGTTCTGGAACACATTGCTGTCAGTGAGCCCTCCTATAAGTAAAAACTTACAGAAAAATGCATTCCTAAAAAATGGGATTAAGATTAACGGTCTTGGACACAGACCAAGAATTGAAAAAGTAGAATTACAAGTTCCAGATTTGGAACAATAAATCCTCCCTCAAAGGCATACATTTTGTTACATGATTGAGTTCAAAAGTAAAAAAAAAAAAAAAAAAGAAACCTAAAAATTTTTATCATTGTGTATATGGAATTTTTCTTGAATAGAGGCTTGCAGCTATTATCAGCTTCTCAAGGAATGTTCATGATAAAAAATCTGAAGTCTATTTAAACAAATGCATGTATCTACAAAGTTTTTTGATAACTAGATCAACTGCATTTAAAAGATCTTTTGTTTCAACACAGTTGCCATAGCTCTTAAAGCAAAGTAATTTAGAGGTAGAGATCCTATCACTCTGTTTCTGTTTCTATCATCCTATCAATGATTGTGTCAACTGAGTAATACACTTAGTGGAGCACTATGTGAGATAGAATTTACTTTAGGTAAACAAACAAACAAAATTAATGTTAATATGAAGCTGCTTTTGAAGATTCTGCCAAACAGATCTCCTAAAATTTCCCTTTGGTTAAGTGTTCATTGAGCTATTCGCAAGGTAAAGACAAAATTTATATTTTCTTTTTCTTTCTTTCTTTCTTTTTTTTTTTTTGTTGGTCTTTTTCGTTTTTATCGGTACCAGGGATCGAACTCATGACTGCCTGCTTGCAAGGCAGGCGCTTATGCCGCTGAGCTAAATCCCTAGCCCCTAAAATTTATATTTTCTTATACCATCTTCCCCTTGAATTAACATATGGTTATTGATAAGGATGTATAAACATGCCGTAGTAGCATTGAAAACATATTTTGCATGTTAGCAAATGTTTTCTCCAGTGCTTTATTCCTACCCATAATCCCTTAGGGACGGCTTTTTATCAATTAGTTATTTAAGTTCTCCTACTCGGGAACTTTTAATGAAAGGAAAACTGCACTGCATTTTCATCATGTCACATGTTATGGTACAGATACTTTTGTTTAATAAATGTTTATTAAAACTGTCAGTTACTAAGGATTGAAAATGGCATATCTATTCTTTACTCTTCAGTGACTCATGGAAACTTATCCTTTGACTCATTCATACACTAAAATGTTTTCACACATCAAAAAAGTTCTAGAAATAAAAACATATGCTATTTGTATACTTTCCAAAATTAGTTCAAGAAGTAGGTACAGTTAGGTGACCAGATGGTGAAGCAACCAAGGCCCCCTTTCTCCCTGTTCTGCCAACTGTGTGAAGATGATGGGCATTAATCTAAATGCAGAAGGTTTCTCATTGCCATCTAAGTTGTCCTGGAACAAGCATTAAATAAGAAACAATATGAATTTGAGCCAGCTTTTATTTTCTCATTCATGCCCATTAACCTCAAGTACTTATGACAACGATCTTTAGTTTTGTTGCTGTGACTTACATCACTATCTTGCTTAAAGTCCTGCATTTGGCTTCTCAGTTTTTTCCAGATAAAGTTTGGTAGCTGAGTGGACTGTAGGACTAAACATTCTTAGCTCTGATCTTCATACATCTTTCTGTGAAAAGGGCTGTGTAGATATCCAGATTTTCTAAACATAAAGAATATTTTTCATTTATCTTTGCAGATAAGGACAAATGAACCATTTTTATGAGTTGAATATGTGTGGAGTTGTAACATTTCTCATGAGAATCAACTCTTTCTCTCAGAAGATGAAGACTCTGCAAGGATGGAGACACCAATGGAAAGAGTTGGCATGCTTGAGTCACCTCCTGGAGGGCAGCCACATAGAAGTGTCACTTGTCTCTCTTAGTACAGATGTGGGAAATACATTTTCATTGTGATTATTGAGTCTTAGTGTTATAGAATATTGGGAGTTTTAAAAAAATCCTAATGTAGCTTCCTTTATTATGCTTTAGCCTCAAGGTTTTTTAAATTCAGGTTTTCTATCATATTAAACTCTTAATCTGCTATAAGATCTTTACACATAATATTTTCAACGTAAGGAATGCTTATTCATCTACTGCTTATCTAATTAATTCCTGGTCATTTTCAGGTTAATTCCTGCCCATTTTCTAGATATCATTTTACATCTATAATCTGTATTAGATTTTCTTATTGTACTTACAGAAGGCATTTATTTCATCATACACATTAAAATTTGTATGTTATGGTCGGAGATGTAACTCAGTGGCATAGTACCTGCTTGGCAAGTGTGAGGTCCTAAGTTCTATTCCAGGTACAAAACAAAAATTTTAGTTGGTATTGTACTAAAGTATGAAAAAAATAAAGTAAAAAAATTCCAATTTTATGTGGTTTAGCTCTACTTGGCAATAATCTTACTGATAGCAGAATTTGCATTCTTGAATTAGTAGGTACTCACACAGACATTGAGGCCAAAATTCGGCATTGATTCAATTACAGAAGAGAACCAAGGTTCAGAGACACAGAACAGTTAATAAAAGCAAAGGGTGAAATCTCTCAGTATCTTTTGTCTTAGAGATTTAAGACTACACATCTTTATTTGTGTTATATAAGGACTTCTTCATGGCAAAATTATACCCATTCTGTATCTTGTCATGAAAGTGGGATGGATAGCTTTTAAGCATTCCACTTATGACATTCAGATTTATAAGTTTAATGTTATTTACTGCAAAATATCAAAATTCATGGTTATCTTTTAAAAATTTCATGCAACCAACCATTATAATTTTCACAGACAAACAACTTTAATACCTTATTGTGTGGAAAACAGGATCTCTTTACAGAAGAACACTCAGAGTTGATAAAATGTAATTTATTCAATGTTTTTTCATTTAAGAAAAAATAAACATAATAGTTTTTATTTTGGTGGAGATGGTTCTCTAGGCCATGAAATGTTAAAGTTCTGAAGGAATGCAGAATCAGTCTTTCTCCCCCTTAAACAAACATTTTTAGAGTAAGGAGAATATGAGCTCCACACATGGTTTCAGTGAAGTCCATCCCTCTCCTGTTGAGAAGAACATCACTTGGAGATGAGTTTTGTTTTGGCTGAGAATCCTTGTTAGTTACAGAATTGGTTGAGAAAAGATTACACAGGTCTACTTTTGAAATGGTTCCAATAGCTTATGTTTTATGTTTGTTTTCCTTAATGGAAGAAAGAAATTGGGTTATTTTCCATAAGTAGCTGTTTACTTTGTATAAGATGAGTTTTTACTGAAACTAAAGATTGTATGTAATGGATACTGTGGGAGTGTGGGAAGACTTTTTCTTGCTGAGTGGGTTGTGATGTGAAGCCTGTAAACCAGGAATACAAACCATTTGAAATAAAGGCATAGATAGACATCAGTGCAATCAGAGTTAGGGACTTCAGTACCCTTCACTTACAAATATGTTATCCAGATTTTTAAAAAAGAAAATGCAGTTAAACCACACTGCAGAATAATTGGACTAAACATATATCATAGGACATTTTATCTAACAACATCAAAATACATAATCTTCTCAGTTTCCTATGGAACTTTTTCTAAAAAGGGCCATGTTTTAAGCAGTAAGCATGTCTCAATGAATAATACAGAAAAGAAATAATCTCTTGCCTCCTGTCAGGTCATATGCACTAAAACTGTGTATCAATAGCAAAAGACATCACAGAAACCACACAAACACATGGAGATTGAGTATTATTTTACTCCTGAAAGATCAATTTACTAAGAGAAACATAGTATAAATAAAGTACTGTGGCATAAAAGGAATCAGGTATGAAAATTTTAAATTCCTAGAATCAAAATTACAATGCTAATATGACATCACAGACTCTGTGGGACACAAGGCTTGCAGTCTCAAGAGGGAAGTTTGTAGTTGTGAACACCAAAAAAACAAAAACAGAGTGATCCTAAATAAATAACCAAATGATGTATCTGAACGTCCTAGGAAAACAAGAACAATTCAAACCCAAAATTCAGTACAAAGAGTGAAACAATAAAGAGCAAAAGAGAAATCAATGAAGTTGAGATTTAAAAATACAAAGTCTCAATGAATTGGAGTTTGATTCTTTGAAAGAATAAATAATATTCATGAACACTTAGCCAAATTTTTCAAAAGAAAAAGAGAAAACACTGCACTATAATTAGAAATTGATAAGATGAAATTTCACCAGACAAAGAAATCCAGAGGATTATAAGAAATTATTTTAAAAATTTATATTTCAACAAATTAGAGACTCTGAAGAAATGAACATATTCTTAGAAGCATATGACCTACTCAAATTGAATTGATAAAATGTAAAAACCCTGCGAAGAAGAACAACAAAAATTAAATTGACACAGTAAAAAATTCTATCAACTGAGAAAAGCTCAGAACCAAATAGATTCAAGATGAACGCTGTTGGAATTTTAGATAAGAACTCATGGCGATACCTCTCATACTTTTCCATGTAAATGAAATGAAAGAAATACAAATTCAGAATAGTGAAAGAAACCTGAACAAAGGAGCAAAGTGGGATGCATCAACAATTCTGGATTTCAGTTACACTACAAAGCTGTAGCAACAAATACTTCATGGTGCTAGAACAAAATAGACCCACAGAACAAATGATATAGAAACAGCCCTATGTACTTTATTTAATTTTTAATAGAGAGCACAAAAACATGTATTGCAGAAAATACAGCCTCTTTAAAAAACAGTGCTGTGAAAACTGATTATTCACTTGCAGAAGATTGAAACTAAATCTATATTTCTCTTCTTCCCATCTAAAATCACATAAATTTGATCAATGGGTTAGCTACAAATACAGAAAGTTTGGAATTGCTGGAAGACAACAAGGGAAATACTTGAATCTGTAACTGAAGGCAAGGACTTCCTGAAAGAACTTCAATAGCATAGGAAATAATATTGAGTTAATATATGTGATTATATAGAATTGAAAGCCTTCTGCATATCATAGGAAACAGAAGAGTGAAAAGATATCCTGCAAGGTGGTAAAAATCCATCAGCCGATCTTCTAGAGTGCAAATATCCAACACATACAAAGAACTAAAAAAAAGCACCCAAACAAATGACTTGAATGAAAATGAACAAATGAATTGAATAGATGCTGCTCATAAGAAGAAATAAAAATAATCAATGAATACAAGAAGAAAAATTTTTGTGATCTGTATCTATCAGAGAACTGCAAATTGAAACAAGTCCCAGATTCCATCTTATACCAGTTAGAATGGCTATCACCGAGAACATAGAAACCAACAAATGTTGATGAAGATGTGGGGAAAAGGAACCTTCCTACGCTGTTGATTGTTCTGTAAACTATTACAATTGCTATAGACATCAGTAGGGAGATTACTCAAAAAATTGTAGTTGGAAATTTCAATTGGCATAGTTATACCTTTCCTGGGTATATTTCTGAAAGAGTTAAAGACATCCTACTATAGTGATACACGTTTAGTGATGTTACTGCAGTACAATTCACAATAGGTAATGTCTGGAAATAGCTTCCATGCCCATAAGAAGGAGTATGGATAAAGAATTTGTGATATATATACACAGAAAGAAATACCATGCTGCCATAAAAGGATGAAGTTGTGCTATTCACTGGGAATTAAATTGAGATTATGAGATTAGATAAATCAGACATATAAAATATCACATGACTTCTTTTATATGAGAAACCTAAAACAAAAAATCATGAGCTTAAAATAAAGGAGCAATCACAGGAAACATAAAGGCAGGTGTTGGGGAATAGGAAAGGTAGAAAGAAGGGTCGGGAAAGGAGAAGGATCTGAAAATGATAAAGGTATCATTTATGTACACATGTACACCATGTACACGTACCACTTCCCTGAAGCTAGGTCTTGTAGCTAGGATTTATGGCAAACATGGACTAGTAATATATGCTAGCCATAGAAGGGAAAAAGAAACTCCTCCCTTACCCCAAATCCACTTACAAGGAAAAAGAATCGCAAAAGCCCTAGGTCAAGAGCCATATTTCTGAGAACAAATATATTGTTTTTGAAAAGAATTCTTGGGGGCGTTTTTCTCCCAATCTCTTTGGTACATAGGTTCATAAAGAGAACTTCAAAAACACCGAGGATATTCTGATTTTTATATTGGATAATGCAGTCATATTTGTTCATTGTTGTTGCCATTTTCCTTTATTACAAATTTGTAGTCCATTTGGTACCTTTGGTTTATGTTAAAAGTTCTGTTTCTTTTCTGAAATTTTGTTTATCTAAATAATTTAAGCATTGTTAGTTTTCAATAATAATGAGTAAAATCTACATCATCGTGAAGAAGTTATCTCAGCTGTTGATTTTAACAATATTTCATGAGTTTTCTGTCACTCAATTCAATTATAATCTTTATTTTAATTCTGTAAGTGAAAAAGGCTAGATTTCAAAAGCTTGAAAAAATAGGATTTCCTTCTCTTTTGGTGACTGACTGAACATGCAACACAAGCTGCGTTTGTTGCAGATAATTTAAATCACAATCACCATGTTTAAATTTTGTCCTGAATAGCAGTTTGTATTTTAAAACTATTTATGACATGCAGTTTCATTTTTGGGATTACTACTGTACATTGATGGACAAAAATGCCAAGAGGAGAGATCAAAAAGAATAAAATGTAAGAGAATTATGAAACTACCAGACTCCAGTGGTTGGATTATTCCATCACAAATTAATCAGAGAACAAAATCACTCTTGATGGATGTCCATCTCCATCCAGGAAGCCTTCATACTTTACCTGAGAGGAGGTCAGAGGGCCATTATTCTGCAGGTGAGGCCACTCTTGTCCCTAATTAAAACCAAGTTCTTCTACTCTCATTTAGTGCACTAGTCACTAACATTATTTATGTCATTTGGTTATTTGGGGAGTTAGAGGGAAAAAACTTAGTCACTCTCAGGTTCATTTTCACATGTATTTTTTCCAACCTTGCAACCTATAGTTCTTTAAAAACAGTTCTTGGTTATTATTCCCCAGAAAATCTCCATATCTCTTATATAGTACTTTTTAAAACATTGACACCAAATTTTATGTAAGTTTTTAGAAGAGGAATAATGTATAATGTATAATATAACAAAGATTGTCTAATTTTTTATGGCTTTATTTGCTTAGAATTATAGCATCTTATCACTTTCACTTTCCTTATGTTTCTAAAGGGAATAGTCACATTATGAATCTCTTGTCTTTGTAAATATTGTGGTATCTCTATTAATTCAACTGAGGACATCCTTAAATTTTGTAATATATTTAGATTTGGTAATCAACGAATACATGATTGAACAAAAATTATCTATTTTACCCCAAATGAGATTAAATATTCAGCCAGCTCAT